ATTTCCAGAAAAAGGTGACGCTTATTCGCGATCTGCTCAGAAGTCGCCAACTTATCGCGGCTAAACGGCGACTTTTTCGAAAAACGCGATAATCGCCGATTTTTAAACGACATTGAAGACATGGGAATGCTCGACTGAGTCGCGAAGTCTCTTTTAACACCGTAAATTCGAAAGATCCTTAGTATGTCTATTTGTGTATTAAGCTTTCTTTTGAAGGCTCTTAACGTGCTACATGCACGCAATTCATATTTTAATTCGTTCCATTTTCTGATTGCATTAGGAAAAAACGACCTTTCAATGTTTTACTCATAAAACGCCTATCAGTTTCCCAATTACCCTGAATTTTCAGTTCTACTTATGTTCTAGTTTGATAATTATGATTGTGATGTAAATGAGAAATATGGTTTGCTAAAAAACTAGGTGCTAGTCCTCTCACTATCTTTAACATCAGGAGAATTGCCGACTTTTCATGCAAGCCGTTTAATCGCCAGCCTATCAGCCGACACACACTTCTTTTTTGTAATCTCTATTCAATTCTGGGAAAAGTGTTACACACTTCAGCTGTTATCGTGATCCTATTGTTCTTCCAATCTGTGCTGAACACCCGCATATTTATTGATACAGTGATTAAAGGACAGGTTTCCGTCTTTTTTATTCTGAAATAGAGGTTGTAATTCAGTGCAAGGCGAAAATCATTTTACATTGAAGATATTACTTGGTTTGTGTGACTTGATTGGAGTTATTGAATGGTAGGTAAATGGTATTGATAAAATACCATAAATGGTGTTTAAAAGTCAGCTACAATCTTTGGCATAACAAAATATCAAAATCAGATAAGTAATGAACTTCATCTCGGTGTCGCAAAAGTAATTAGTGATTGTGGAAGTGGAGCTCGTTTTTCGAGTTATGAGAGATCATCATGTTTCAGCTAACTAAATTTTTGACAAGAAATGGTAGATTCGTGGTGTGTGCAAAAACCTATATCGAATGACATATTGTTTGGAAACGTTTTGGTGCATGTAGATTGCTAATGTTAGCGAATACAAATATACCAAAAGTAAGATATTTGGAGAAAAATCGATTTTTTTTTCGGAAAAATGTCTCAGGTTCGCTCAAAAACAGCGTCAAATTTATGAAAATCGTGATTTTTATGGGAAAAGGCACCAAAGTTTGTGATAAGCCTGTGAATATCAGTATTTGCAGCGTGCTGTCAAAATAGTTTCGAGTTGATAAAGAAGTCGAGAGGAATGTATTCTTTTCTGTACAGGTACTTCGACTTCTACGCTTTTCGCAACTAAATCAATACGATATACTTCCTATTTTCATGAGAATATACTACTTTCGATTCCCCTTTTCAAATTCTTCTGTGGAACGGTATCCATCAACTGATATCCACAGAGGAAAAAATTTTTGTTGTTCTTGTGGCTCAAGTGCAATGTTACACCCGAGTTTTTGCCGTTTTTAAGGTTGAATGTGATATTAGAAAATTGGAATTTAATGCTAAGCATGTGTATATTACTACAGCCAGTATTATCTTGTTGTTGTGAAATTGCTACCTGCTGTGTTGAGTCACATACGTCATACAAGTAAGACGTCATGGTTACGTGCAGATGAGGTCGAGTATTTACGTTGAAGGACCCAGGGCCGCAAACAGAACCCTACATTATGGGGGCGTAAAACAAAATTTCTCGCTCTCTGAGGTAGTATGAAATTGATAAAAAAAATTTTGTGCAAGGAATAATGGATAACAACAGCTTTTCAATTATTCGGGAGTGTCCCAATTAGTTAACCGTTGTAAAACGAAAAAAATAATTCTTTTAAGCTTTGACAAATTTCCAAAACTTGTAGAAAATTTTGGTGGAAGGTCGGATCAGAAGGTCACTCCTAAAAAGTTTGATCTGCTGGGACACAACAGAAGGCCGTGCCTGTTCTGGAAAGGGGTTTAGTATGAGAGTTGTGAACCAGATGAATATTTGTTATAGTGTGAAGATGCTTGTTAATGCCTACAAATAGCAACAGGATTATCTGAAATAACTATATTTGTGTAAAAAAACACATACACACATGATAACAGAATTGATTGTGGAAGAAAAATTAATAAGTTTTATCACTCAGTTATGTATAAGAGTAATTCTTTTACAGCCAAGTAAACAGAATCTAAAAATATTGAAATCTGAAAAATAATTGTTAAAACAATTCTTTGTGAAATTTAAATTTATAGGTGGGTGAGGTACAATAGGTTTTAATTGTTTTAGCCATTGCCGGAGGACCACAAAAAAAAACATGAACATCACTTTTATTTTTAAATAATGCTTGATTATCTGCTTGAATTTTGGAAAATAGTGAATTCCATTTTGGTCGACCATGATTTGTTCTTGATTTTAAATTCGTATACAAATCTCTTTTAGTTCGTTCATAATAAATATTCTCTGTTAAAATTCTTGTTATATCTTTACCGTGGTTATTGCCGGTAAAAAAAAGATGTATGTCAAGAAAACGTTGTCTTCGTTGTAACTGTTGCTGTGAGGATAAGTCATGGTTGTTATTGTTATTATTGTTGTTAACATGTGTGGCTACAATCAAAAGAAAATCAATGTTTTTATCAATTTGCATCAGATCTCATCAATAGAACTGAATATTGTTGAAAGTCACTAAACCTGAATGAAATTAAGGGACAATTGACTATAGTCGATTAGAACTGACTAAAACTATCCAAAATTTTTGAAAGAAAATTCTACTCACAGTGTTGTTATGTAAGGCACAACAAAAGGAATTTTCAGAAAAACTAGGTCCATCAAGTTGGTTAAGCTTCTCATATGACATGAAAAAACTGAGAATTATTGTGAGAACAGACTTAGTCTTCAGTTAAGAGAAAACGATAGAATAAATTTTATCGTTTAAACACTTTATTGATGTTTCGACATACGAATATCAGATCAATAGCGATCTATCAGTTGCAATGTTATTCGACATTCATTGAATAGAATCCCAATTTTATTTAGATGTGCCATTCTCTTGTCTCTCTTCACTGATTTTCACAAGAAATGATCAGATTTTGATAGGTTTTGGTGAAGTTTGATTTAATCAAACCTGTATCAGATTTTATAGATTTCACAGTTGATAAGTTTTAATTATCATAACAACTACTTACACTGGTCTTGTCGTAGATCATCTTCTCTTTCTTTCTCAATATCATTCAAATAGGCTTCTTGTTCATTTTCAAAATCGACTAATAAATTTAAAAACCATAGAAATTCTTGCATTTCTCTATTTACCCAAATAAAATCAACTTTTTTCAATACACGATTATTACGTATTATACTATCTTCGTCGATTGTATAATTTATATGTGCACATTTTTTACATTTGACGCGTTGTAAACGAAATTGTGCCATCAACGACGAGAGTATACTTGCATAAGGTGTCACACCTAATAAAATAATTTTAAAAGTTCATAATTCACATTCATTTCGCTGGTGATTGTAAAAAACTACTGAAGTATCAGGAAAGTATTAAGACTCATAGACATCGCTATTTCGAGGCGGCCAAAGTGGGATTTTAGCTCACTTTACTCCTATTCCTTAACATCTGTTTTTATAAGAGTACTGCTACAGTGTTCGCGATTCTCTCATAACTCATTCAGAACTTTTTCGTATTCTGTTTAGAAACTTGAAGTTTCTAGACCACAGAACGATATACCGACATTTTCGCAAACGACATTAACGCGAAGACTTGCTTATTGGAAAAGAAGAATAAATGAGCTTGGTTGTGCATTTTACCTATCATGTTTTGATGTCTGAGTGAAAGTATGTGATGAATAGTCATTATGTGATACAGTTACAGATATGCAGTTTCGCATCATGAAAATATGTTTTATGTAAAACTATTTTTCGAACTCACTCTCCACTGTCAAAAATACACAAATGTGTACTATGAAAAATTCGTGGAAGATTCGGGTGTCCTGTTCGCGGAAGTATCGTATCACGGAATTTATGGTATGAAAATTATATTGAGGTCCTGAATCAAATTAGATATTCAAAATCTAGTTAGAGATGTGTGTAAAATGAATGATTGCGCTAAATTGAGCGTGTGATGAAAATCTTCTACTTACCGATTCCAGCTGCGATAAGAACAACATGTTCCACATCGAATATGTATCTCGCAGAAGAACTATAAGAGCCATCTATCATCAAACTATCATCAATCGAAAATGACCTAGTCGATAATGCTGGTTTGACTTGTTGTTGTTGTTGTTGTTGTTGTTGATTGGATATAGTAGTGGTATTTAATTCTACTGTTACGTGGTTTAAAGTGGTGTTGTGAGGGTTGTTATTATTCAAATATTCTAATAATTTATTAGTCCAGTTGCCTGCGGCATGAATATGTAAAGTTAATGTTTCTTTTTCCTCTGGTCCACTCGAGATTGTGAATGGATGCCATTCAAATTTTGCAATTTTCGAAATATGAAGAAACAGATAGTCTCCTGGTCTATAATCAAAATTAACTGGTCGGTGAATTGTTAATGCAATGACACTCTTTTTCTCAATTTTTTTCCCCATTTTCACTGGACATTCAAAAATACGAACAGATTTCATTTTCGTATGACCGTGTGATGAACGACTAAATTGTATTAATGAATAAATTTTTTCAATTATAAATATTGTACCTGGGACACAAAACCATTTATAAAAACCGTTGCCATGTAAAATTAAAAATATAAAAAACGGTATGTATAATAAATGGGTAAAATAAAAGACTTCAAAGTGTCCACTTCGACGAACATAACCAATTGAAAAAATAACTATTACAACTAATATCAATGATAATATTACACCACTTAGCGGGGCAAAACCTGGCACAATGTCACCTAGACGAGCGGCAAATGTAAACATTAATTCATGCCATTGATAAGCTATAAATAGAAAAAAATAATGCTGGTTTTTATTAGTAAGAAAATCTTATCCCTAGAAGTTTTCGTTTTAGAAACAAGCTAGAAGAGAGAAACCTTAGGAAAAACAGAATTCTTAACATACACCCAACTTTTTTCAGTGTTCTAAGAAAATATATCGTCTCATATTAAATGGAAGTACTTTTCTGACGCCGATAGTATCGCTCAAGCCATCTTATACCAGGCAAACAAGTTTCATCTGTCAAATATCGGACTATAGTAGGTTTTATGTTAAAATAAAATATTTTAACCAAATACACGACAACAAACGTCAACTCTAAAGTCCAAATAACAGCATAATTCGTTCGGTTTTTCCGCTCTATCGAATGATACATATTTAACAGTTAAACATAAAAAGTCTTAATTTTTCTGAAGCTTTGTCTGTAAAAGGGCATACCGGATCCATTTCCAACTCCGAAGATGTAAAAATTTGGATTTGTGGGTAAGTTTGAATACTCTGTCAAATGAAATCATAAACTAATACATTGGAAAAAAAGCGGATAAATGACTTTTCTACTTATGCTCAATGTTTCCACGGCATGAGTTCATTTGATTCGAAAAGCATTTCCGATAGGGTTTAAATCGCTTTTGTTGGACCCGATTCGATCTTTCTTTCACATATTGTTGACTAGGTAGGCATGCACCAATCCGGTAGTTCGGGATTCTCATCGGAGATATCGGGGAGCGCTCTGTTGGGGAATTATTGGGACAGAATACCGTAAACCTTATAAAGATACATTCGAGTGAGGGCTGCAGCTTTCTGTCTGCTTTATTTCCACAGTGAGGAAACGTATTTTTTCATGAAAACAAAGTAAATCAGTGTGTTGCAGAGACCACATTAGTAAAATATGCTTTAGTTAGAGAGTAAATCAGATATAAAGGAAACTAAAGATACTTTGGACTCCCTGGAATAAAGCAAACACAAAGTTGCTGCTCTAATTCAAACTTTTCTTTACATGACTACCTACGACAACGATTGGCTGCTCTTTCGTTTGGTGTAATCTTGATCATTTTTTCTGTTTTACAGAGGTTTCTATCATGTATTTTTTCGCTCTCATGTTCTTAGCTTGACGAACTATTATTTTTAAACCTTTGGTAACGAATCGCTCTCTGACCGAACATGTTCGGTACTGATCTGATAGAACACACATTCGCTCACATTGTACTTTAGTTAGTCTATTTTCTCACTTGTTAGTTCCTTCAAAAACTTCAATTTCATCCCGTTTGTTTTTAGTCCAGACTAGACATGCAACAATCCCCAAGCTAGGGTTTGCTGACCGAACATGTTCGATAACAAACCCTTCGGTGCCGATCAGCGAGCCCTAGCTTGGGATTGTTGCATGCCTGTTCTTGCCATATAATCGAATGGATGATTTTGAAGGATATTATGGCGAGAAAATCGATTTTATTAGTTCTAGTCCTTTAGGCTTATAAACACATTCGTCTCGTCAGAAAATGACTTCCTCTAGCCCTTGTTGCAGCTACTAGCCATGTTGAAAGAGAAATAACATACGTGTTTTTATAATTGCAAAATCAATCATGTGTGATAATGCATGTATGAATGCTAGGACAAGTATATATCTTCCAACCCAACGATGAAAATCAATATGAGCATCCACTGGTAATATATAGCGTAAATATGACCTTCTAACTAATGTTATTGTGTTCTTTAACATTAGAACAATCATCAACGTACAATTAAATGATAATAGCATTGCACATATTTTAGCTGTTACAACTGATGGATTCATATCTTGTTTGTGTACAACATAAATGACTGTATATCGACGAACAATGATCCATATAAGAATTCCTATTTGAATAAGAATATAAACTAATAAACAAATAATAGATTTTAATTTATTAATTATAAATTGTTGTTTTGAATTTTTTATTTTATCATCTACCGAAGATCGTGTATCATTTGTAAAATAAATTTTAAATAAATCATCTATTTTGCCAACTTTTTGTCGAACAAGTGTGTGATGAAATTGTTCAAATGTTATTTCACAATTTTCATTAAAACGATAAGCACTTAACAATATATTGATGATTTTTTCATGATCACCATCATCGTTATCATTATTTATTCTCATATGATGACTTTCTTTAAAATATGCACGGTAAAATTCACGCATTTCATTTACTGTTATTAATTGATTATCATCACGATCAAATACACGAAATAAAACTAATGCTTTAAGACAAGATGAACCTTCCCAAAGAATTCGTGCAATTTTTAATATATCATAACCATTAATTCGATTTCGTTTATCATCAAAATTAAAATTTGGTAAAATTGTTTTAATAAACGTTCACCTAAGACAGATGTGATTTGAAATAAATGACAAAATTCTTGAATTGAATGTGTTTTTTGACTTATATCATTATCAAAATAATGTTTATACCAGTCAGATGGTACTGGTTCATTTAACTGTTCATGTAATTCATGTAAATGTTGTTCAAAATGTATTGTTTGCACAATATTACAGTCCAAACTTATTTGTGACTCAAACCTTAAAAAAAGAAAAAACAATATAGTTTACCGAAAAATTTTTGAGAAATATATCAATCAAAAATCTGTCAATTAATTCAAGACAAATCTCCAAAATTTTGTCGTAGGAATTTTCTCTCAATCCTCCCATAGTCTTAGGGTAAAGACTTTAGAACTAGAGTTCCCTTTCAAAATTTTTTAGCTATAGAACAGGAAAAGTATCTTTTATATGAACATTGATCTTATACTCATACAATGGTGGTAGCCTTATAATTATAAGTTCTTGACTTTTGCTACTTTCCCTTCAGCCATGTGTTTTATCTTAATTTTTCTTCTGGGTTTCATATGTTTGATGAAATAAATTTGAGTTCAATACCTTCTTGAGTGTGAGAAGACACATTACCTGTTCAATGAAGGTATTATCATCCTTGTTGTTTAATTTTTCTTGTTTGGTTTTATTTACTGAGTAACGTTGGTAACGTGCTATCTGAAAGAGAAAAATAAGCGTGAATAAAAAAAACATTTGACGTACGGTTTTTTATGGAGGAGGTCCTCCCACTGGGTTTTTTTCACCAGTCTGTAGAAGACACTTTGAAATATATATCGCGAAATTGTTTTCGATTTCCCACCCTATATTTTTTGACAAAAATTTTTGGGTAGCTCTATTGCCACCACCGGTGGTGTCAACTACGGCTATTGACACCACCAAGCAAAATCAAAGAGTAGGCGGTGTCAACCACGGCTATTGACACTACCGTGCGACACAGTTTTGTCAATCAAATCTGTATAGTTGTAATGTGAAATTAAGAAACAATCATCAATGCACTTAGAATCCGTAGGCCAATCTCTACCACATTTGTTACTGGTTCACAGAAACAAATGGAAAATTTAGCCCAAATTACGGTGATTGTTACCATGTAAAACCTCTATGTTAGCACAAAAATCGAAAGTGCGTAGAGGATTACATTATTTTTAAATAAAATAATTAGCCTTTTTCTATATCGAAAAGAACTTACAAGTCTTATTTCTTCCAGTATTTTGATTCTCCAGCAATTCCGAAAAAGTCAATTTCTAAACGGTTTGTTTATGGTTGGCAACTTGATGAGAACGGTAAATCACAGTATAAACGGTCCAACAGACAGAAGACAGATTAATGTGTATTTATCACCGAACAAACAAAGAACTTAAATTGATATAAAAAGAACATGAAAGTGATTAAACATGAGCCCAGAAGTTGCAAACCGATAGCCTTCAGGATCACGTACCCCTCAGGAGTAGACAGCCCCATTCCTAAAATTTTTTGGGTACTACTTGAATATTTTTGAGGTGTTCGTTGTTGTTGATAGGCCCCATCTGACGAGCTTTATCGATTAGCCAAATCAGATTATAAATTCGAGAAAGGTTGACTGTTTGTGAATGTTCTAGTACCTTACAAATAACAAAAAATTTGGCATTCCTTGCAATTCAAATCTAAGCTAGTTCTCCAAACTTTTTAGAAAGTCTACCGGAGTGGATAAGTCTGGACTTTGTTTTGCTAATGAAAAGACGTATCCAGATCTAGGTTATTGGTTGGGAAAGCACCAAGTTTCTACGTGATTTTAATCAAATGTTATTTATGAAATATGTGTGGGCACAATAGCATGAATTAATTTGTAGATAAAGTAGTAACATAAGTCGAAGAGGAAGACTGAACAAACGCAGGATTTAACAGAGTTTGAAAAGAAAATTAAACAAGGTTTTAGAAGTATATTTAGAAAACCTGTAAAATCTAATTCTTGAAAAATGCCATTTAAAAGTGTAGAACAAAGCAATGTGATCTCAAATCATTTTTGATAACATAGTCGGAAGTCCTCCATGTCTGAAAATGTCAAATCCAGAAGATCAGAAACACTCTTACATAAGTTTTTAGCATTTTGATAATTTTGGTGATTATTGAGAGTGATTTTAAGGAAAGAGCGTTTTCATCTTTAATAGTAGTTATAACGTACGAAACCACTTCACCAACCACGGAAAACGTCAGTTCACATTGCTTCGCTCTGCACATTTAAATGGCATTTTTCAAAAATTAGACTTCAAAGATATTCTAAAAATCCTTCAAAAACCTCGTTTAATGTTGTTTTAAAACTCTATCAAACCCCTACGTTTGTTTAATTTTGCTAGTTCTATTCGATGTTGGTTTATCGTTACTCCGCGCTGAGATATTTGAATTTTAAAAAACTTCAAATTTCAAGATTTTAAAACTTAATTTAAAAATCAGCGTTAGATGATTTCTTGAAATTTTTGCTTTGAAAATGATCCTTGAAGAGTGTCAACACGAATATGCTATTAGAAAAATTCCAATTCTTCAGCGTTCTTCAAAACAAACTTTTACTGGATAGTGAGGTTGAAAATTTCCCAGTTCTCTAGGACACTTACTTGCAGTATTCACTGAAAAAAAAAATTTTAAAATCATGAGCGAGTTTGCCAAAATCCTGTGGATGTTAGTTATATCCTGCAGGCTTTGACAACATGAGGCCCCATCGAAAATCTTCCTCCGCGTTGTCAGATATATCTTGCAGGCTATTTTACTCTGCTAATCCTGCGGAATTCTTTCCTCCTTGTTATCAGCTGTAGCATGTTAGATATCTTAGTACGCTATCAGGATTTTATCCTGAAGAAAGGAAACAGTAACTCGCAGGAAAAGGTGTTACAGGGTCGGCATGGAAATAAATATAGATAAAAAATGTATTATTTAAGATAAAGAGACCAATAAAATGCTCAGAAGAAGCTGGGGGAACGTTCTAGAATATATTTCGCTCGCTATTGCTCTATTTCGCGGTGACTACAGAATATTTCATTTTATATTAGTTTGTTATATACAGCTGATATATACCAAGCTTCATTTTCTTGTCTAAATGTTTGTACTTCTTCAAAGACACCTAGTCAGTCATAATCATTCCAGAAACACACAGGAAACTCTGTTTAAGTACCCTCAGAAATTATCTCCGACACCGTACATCCGATCTTGACGAGCTTTCCATAAATGTTCGGCACAATGAGTTACGGGAATGAAAAAATTTTTTTGTCTCCAAGTCTTATGGTTTAGGAGTTTTTCAGAGATCAAGGTCCAAAAAGGACCCTGAACGGCGTCCCAAGACTTTTTAATATATTTCAAGCTGGAGACTTCGGGTTTGTTTTATTTTAAACTAGACACCTAACTACATCGACTGACCGGCGCAGATTTTTTAATTAAGCCTTTATTGGTTTTCGAGGCAATCAACAACCTCCAAAAGCCGAAAAATTCTTCCGGATTTTCTAAAAATTCTCAGTTTGACAAAAAACTAAGATCTAATTCAAAAATCGATGCCGGTCAGTCGATGTAGTTTCTTTTCCTCTTTTAAACAACAAAAAGAATGAACTCTCTACGACAAACTGCTTTGCTCTACAAATCTGTGTTTTCAGAAAAATACATACGGAAAAAACATTATTTGAAGACCCGGTTTTTCGAGACTGTTGCAAAACTTGTTCAAAATCCCCGAAAAAACAGTTTTGTAACCAAAAACAATACAGATTCTGGAAGTAGACACTTCAGGATATCTTTCCATGTGCGTATCTCAAAACCGATTTTTTTGACCGAAAATCACCATTTCTGAGGGAGGGAGGCTCTTAAGAAAAAATTTATGCGTTTAGCGAGTTTTGAATAATGACGCGTAAAAAGCTGCGAGTGTGTAAAAATAAACCGCAGGAACACGCATGTAAAGCCTTTGTTTCCACGGCAACGTGCGTTTCTGTCGGTTTATCTTTACACACTCGCAGCTTCTTGTGTGTTATTATTCAAAACTATATCTTTTGAAAATTGGTTTTAACGCGAGATTAGCTGAAAACATCGCGCAAAACTCTGTTTACGAAAAATTTACCGCGAGAAATTTGTTTAAAAAACAGCGCGAGAATCGGGTTTGGGGCAATCATAGGTTGCGTAAAATGAGCCAAATTTTTCATAAACAGAGTTTCACGCGATACTTTGAAGCCAAACTCGCGTTGTTTCGCGGTTCTTGAGCCAATCTCGTGTTGCATTGATGGTATAGTCGCACTAAACGGAATTGATATAGAAAAAAACAGAAATTCCCATAGTATATCTGATATAGTTAAAGGCTAAGTCTCCCGAAGCAACTTTTTTGCGAGGAAAGAGGAATTTTTTATTGGAAAAGAAGTGGCGCTTTTTCCTTTCTGTGCATTATACAGTATCACACCGTTGAAGCAAGGAAAGAAAAGAGAAAAGGAAACATAAGTAAATGCAGAAAAACTAACGCCTTAAATATGCGTCACATTATGATGATTAAATTTCATGTCAATGTACGATCAATTTCCTGTTTCAGGTTATTTTTTGGTGAAAAACTCAGCAGTTTTCCAACGTGAAAGTTCAGAAAAAATCATAGTAGTTGGATAGAGTAACAAAGTACACCATTTGATTCAGTTTACGACGGTGATTCTGAATATGATAGTTTTATTGCATAGAAATTGAATTCGGATGAATAAAATAGAGAATTACGGGCAGAATTCCGTTTTTTGCGCTGCTGATTTAGAAAATATGAACGTCGGGGCTACCAAAATAAAAATTCTGCATAAAGGTAAGAAACATTGCCGGATACTTACCGCATACAACCCGCATGACTTCTACGCAAAATTCTGCAGTGGGTAATTTTTTTTTTTTTTTTTTGACGAGCCTGACGCAAAGAGTATACATTCAAATCTTTAAACGCTCAGTTTCGTGAAATCTATTGGTATTTAATGATATAATCTCTACTTACTTTCTCAAGCAACACGCTTCTTACAGTTCTTGTTTACTGTAAATAAAATGAATTTAACTGTAACTTACTTAGGAGATGTTCAGTTGTTATAGACCAGTTTGTGTTAAAATTAAAATATTCCAATGATCTAACACAAAATATTGAAATGGAAAAGTAACTGCTAATCGAGCGTATTCCGATAATTTGTATAATTTGTTTCTATTTGGTACTCCTACTCGAAATTTTGTGTACTCGCCCATCTGTGGCTTACGTGTTATTAGAGTTAGAAATATTGGTATTTTCACGTTAGTCAAAGAAATTATCATTGAACAAATAAAGAATTCTTCAAAATGACTGTGAATATCCGTATATGTAGAATGAGGTCAAAATAGTCTCAGGTTGAGAAAGAAGTCTAGAGAACTTCTTTTCTGTACAGTATTTTCGGTTTCTCCCCTTTTTTTGTTGTTCCTGTGACTCAAATACAATCGAATAATATATGTTTCGCTTTGTTTTCATATGTTCGAATCTCTATTCATGTGTGCGAACCTCTATTCGTGTGTGCCAACCTCTATTCATGAGTTTGAATCCCTAATCATGTGTATGAATCTCTATTCACCTGTGCGAACCTCTATTCACATGTTTGAATCTCTATTCATGTGTGCGAATCTCTGTCCATACACAATTATCGAGCATTAGACCTGTCAACTGTTCTTGTCTGGTGAGCTACAGAATTGTGTTTCAAGCCACATGTGTTTTCATCAATTGAAGGCCAGCTCGAGCTCTCCACGACGTTTCTTTACTGAGAAATCTTGAACTTACGAGCAGCCCCATTTTGGCCACTATTGTGGCGATATCTCACAAACCATACACGATGGAGTCAAACAAAAATTTCTTCAACATACTTTCACAAGATCAGCTCATTGAAAATAACGACACTAGTGGTATCGTCCGTATCAATTTTGGAGTCGTCCAATAAGCTCCTGCTCACATATTACTTCTCTCATCTGGAATCTTTGGTTAACTGGAAATCGAAAATATCTGAATCAAATCGTGTTGGATAGCAAACATGAAAATACTTTTAGTACTTCTCATTTTGACAAAGGTAATAAACAGCATCAATTGTTAGACGATTAAATACTGCAAGTCTG